TATCACGTATGTGACGTATGTCTATCATGTATGTGACGTATGTCTATCACGTATGTGACGTATGTCTATCATGTATGTGACGTATGTCTATCACGTATGTGACGTATGTCTATCATGTATGTGACGTATGTCTATTGTGACGTTTGCCAATTACGTATGCCACGTATGTCTATCACGTATACGGCGTATGTCTATTGTGGCGTATGGCTATTACATATGTCACGTATGTCCGTCACTTTTGTGAAGAATGTCCATCTATGTGACGTAAGAGAAACGTTCTTGTAGGGGAAAATTGAAATATAGGTGATTTATTACGCCCTCATCGACGTAATTTAGATAAATTTGTAGGCAGGCTTCTGATATAGCTTGTCAGGGCCAACCTGGGCAGGGAGAGCTACAATTTTCCAGTATAAATACGAGACCTTTAACACAAAAATACTCCTCACTCTGGAATCGAACTCAAGTGTCCTACATGAGACAGAAAGGTGTTTAACCGCTACGCCACAAACATCTGTCGGAAAAAAGCACCCCAAAAACCCCTCCAAAAAACAAAAACAAAAACAAAACGAAAACAATAAAAACAAAAACGAAAAAAGAACACAACCCCCCTCCCAACAAACACCTCCACCCCCCTCCCCCCGGGGCCCAGCGTCCCACCAGTTTTCGGGACATTTGGACAGCGTGAGTTCACACGTCATCAGCTCGGTGCCCACAGCCGTTTTTCCCGCCGGCGGGTGCGACCAGTGCGAAAGGAAGCACGAATGCCGACAGGTAATTGGATTTCCGACCCGTTGACAGTCACAGACTAAGAAAACTGAGGCAGGATACAAGTGCAACATTCTTGAGTGTCGCGAGCAGAGAAAATGACGAGGGCTCGTTTAGCGCGGAGGTTATCAGGGGAGAGAATCGAGTTCAATTTCGTACTTCGTTAGCGCAGACATAATACCGACTTCAGCGAATGGCAAGGCCAAGTCATCTCTACTAACCAAAGACTGTGTATTATAGCGTGTGTTGTAGAGAGTCTTTGCTCTAACTACGGCGGACGTCACCCCAATTATAGGACCCGTGGGTAGTGCTGTTGGCAGGTGCTCTGGTGTGGTTTGCTCCTTCTTTCTTGTCAAACGTCTATCGTCCCGATCTCTCCTTTTTCGTGTTTGTTACTCTCTTGTAACATCTCTAATCTCCTTCTTACTGCTGTCTTTCAGCCACACCCCTGATCTTATGGTAGGAAAAAACTTCACCTAGACTTTTCAGACAAGGGCGAAATTTTTCGGAGGTCCCGTGTGCAAGTTGTGCACGTTAAAGATCCCTTGGTGGTCTAAAATCGATAAGAGTAGGCTTCGGCCGCCACCAGAGCTAAATTCAAAATTTCCCACCAACTGAAAATGTTGAATGTATCCCGCGCGCTCATATGACCTTATGCAGTTGCGAGTGCAGTAAAACACTTACCAAAATATTGGTAAAAAAGAAAAGAAGAAAAAAAGAAAAAAAAAAGAAGAAAGGACCGCGTCATGAGAGCGCCAATGCTCTGTACAACTGTTTGGATTTGGCCACGATTACGTTTTGTTCCTGTGTCTATCTCGTGCTCAGCAGACCCCCTGACGTTTCATGTTCCAGACTTAAGCTTCACCCCCCACCCCCCACCCCATCCACCTGCCCGACGGGGTTTCTGTTAAAGGTACCTTTTCTCCAAGCAAGAACAAGAGAAGAGGTTGAGAAGTATGACGTAGTGGAGCAGGGCAAATAGACCCAGATGATTTGTGCTCGTTCCAGTTACTTGTATGGCAGATTTCTGCACCGGCAGGTCTCCGAATCTTGGAGCATGTTTTCATTTCTCGGGTGGTTACCTACCGCCC